TCACCTTTGAATAAGTAACACAATATATGCAAATTTAAATTTAAACATGAATGTTAAATATAGGAAGTGTGTAAAATGAAAGGCCCCTTCTCACTGCGCTCCATTGGTCACCTAGGTCTCCCTCTGTTTCCTGTTGGCATTTTATGCAGATTCAGTGTACACCTGTGTCACATTTTCTTATCAATAGTGACACAATATGTATATTCTTCTATCCAATGCTTGTTTTCCTTTAGGCAACACAGCTTGACGATCTTTCCATAACGTTATTTCAAAGGCTTCTTGTGCTCCTTTGACTGGACTTTACTGCATCAGTGAACCAGAGTATATTTAACTGTTCTTCTGGAGTGGACTTGGGGTAGCTTCCAATCCTTTGTTATTACAACCCAGGCTGTAAAGATTTCTCTGCTCCTATATAAGTTTTTGTGTGCAGTTGTGTATCTTTAGGGTACATCTCCAAGCGGCAATAATACTGTATCAAAGGAAACGTATTTTAAAATTCTTGACAAATAATCCCAGATGTCTCTATGGATATTTCACAATTCATGCTGCTCGTATCAATGAATGTGGGTGTGCATTTCCACATCCTGACCAACGTGGAGTGATTACTTTTTTGCTTTAGTATCTCAGCGTCAATTTGCATTGATTTAGTGAGTGAGGTTAAACATATTTTCCTGACTCCGGGTTCCTTTAAGGATCCTTGACATAGCCTTTCTCTGTGAATGGCCTCTTCATTTCCTGTACCTATTCCCCAGTCACCTGCTAGTGCTTTTATTGATTTGTGAGAGCTCTGTCTTGATTAAATTTAAAAACTGGAAATGCTTCCTCCACGTGCATTTTAACTTTTGATCCTAGTGTTTTTCTTCTAACACAAAACCATCTTTATTTTCATGCCAGTGACTTTATCCATCTATTCTTCTATGTCTTTGGGTTTTGAGATATACTCAGGAAGACTTTTATTCAAAGTTCATAAAAATTTCACATCTGTGGCTTTATTTATTACATTTAAATGTCTGATCCTTGTAGAGCTTATTCTAGGGGAAGGTTGATGTGAATCCAGCTTTCCTGCAGAGGCCATCCAATTTTCCTCACTATGTTTTTAAAATAAGAACTCCTCCTCTATGATTTGGAAATCCTTTTATTATGGACTACGTTCCTTGCTTTGTCAATTTTTACTCTAATTGAGCTATTATTGGGCTTGCTTATGTTTCAATATAAACTATATTGATTCTTGTTTTCAAAAAGCCCCACGGCATTTTTATTGGGGTAACCCTAAATTAATAGACTTACTCGGGGAGAATGCTGCTTTGTGGCAGATCCGCCTGTGGAATCCAAGACAGGGGACGTGTGTGTGTGTGGGAGGGGTCCGAATCGTCTGGAAATGTTCCTGGACCCTGGCCTCTCAGCTGGGCATAAGCCAGGTGCCGGGACCTCATTGATGGCTAAGCACACGGCCGACCTCCAGGCCACCTCCCCTCACCTTCCCATCCGCCTTGTAGGAGCAAGGTGTGTGAGCAGTGTGCATCTCCATCTCTGGGCCCTTCTGGGCAAAGTTTGCAAATGGAGGATCACGTGGGGCTTCTGAGAATGCTGAGTGGGGGGCTGCAAACCCTTCCTCTTTCCAGAAATATGTGCCCGGTGGCTGCAACTCAGTACCATGACATACCACAGGACTCTGGCCTAGGTGACATGGGTGGGACAGAGAGGGCTTCCCAGAGGGGGAAGTGTGAACTCTGTCACGGTGAGGGAGCACACACAGGGAAGGCAGGCCGTGCTTTGCGGTGAGCGAGCCTGAGGAAGCTGGGGTGACCTGGTGGTATGTGTGTGCGGTCAGGTCCAGGTCAGTGGTGGACTTAAAGCCATGAAAAACCTTCGTGGGTCTGGGGAGGAATTTGTAGCACAGTCGTTTGGAAATAAACTTGTAGTCTGGAAGTTAATAGAAAAAGGAAAGCTTTACCCAAATGTGGTTCTCAAGCCAGTGCCCCTATTCAAGGTGGGATCACAGGAGCCATAGGGGTCCCCGCGGTCTCCGTGGAAGCTGTCTGCAGGCTGGACTGTGGAGGAGCCTGTGCCTGTGGGGAGCGGCCTCCCTGATAGCACCAGTGCACACCTTTCCTCGGAAGCACTGCCTACAGACACCCAGTGCAGGGGACGTACGGGTGTGTGTCGCTTTTCATCCAAATTAAAAGCCCCATTAATGTAAAACTGGGTCCTAATAAATATATAAGCATAGAAAGGCAAATAATTGTATATGCATAAGCCAGATGCTACCTGGCCCTTCTTACTTCAAGGGAAAGATTAGCAATAAACCCCAAGTTTGCACAGAAGAATCTTCCTGTGTGGTGGAAGGACAGGCCCACACCCTCCACGGCACCAGCACCCTTCTCTGGATTGGGGCAGTGCACCCTGATGGTGTTCCAGGCCCCAAGCGGCCTCCTTGTTCTTGACCTCCTTCCAGAAGGTCCTGGGATGTCACAGCCACTTCTCAGGGCCTCTCACTTCTATCGCAGGGGCAGGTACAGTCTTTGCAAAACAGTGGACTGCACCCCACAGCTGTTTCTGTGTTAGCAGCAGCTGGCTGGAGGCCAGGATGACTGGGCAGGCAAATGGGTACCAGCCTCCCCCTAACCAACCCCAAGCTTCAGAGGCGGCTCCCCTCCCCTCACAAAAGTATTTCCAAGCAATTCCATCTCCAAGAACTTGAAGCCCCATAGGGGAAAAGCTCCCATTTCACGTACTAGGGACAGCTCCCCTTCCCGTGGGGCCACAAGTGCACTCTGTCTACAGGACTGAGCCTTGCCCTGACGTCCTGGTACTGACTCTCTCAGAGCGCAGACTGCAGAGTCGGCTGGAGCACACTTTATAGGTGGAGGTTTGGGGGTCCCATCCCAGATGTTGTTGGAGCACGGCAAGGAGGCCCAAATCTAGCACTTTCTTGGAGTCAGCAGTCTGGGCCTCAGATATTCTCTTTTGGGAACAACCAGTGCTGAGCTCAGACCCCCCAGTTTCGTCCATGCAAAGACAGGGCTGGGACTTACCCCAGCCTCCCGCCTCCCTCCTCCTCTCCTGTCGTGGTGTGACATGGCGCCGGGTGTGGTGCAGTTCCTCACTCAGGGCGTTCCCCGTGTGAGCTGGCCCCATAGCTCTGCCTAAACTGGGTTCTCCCAACCTTGGTGGCAGGAACAATGAAGCATTCTGGGCCTTAGCTTCTCCGGTGTCACTTCAGGAACCAGCAAGCAGTCTTTGCTCCCTTATTTGAATAACCAAATGGTTGGGTGATGTGGTTGCACTGGAACAGAGGAATCTGCACACAACACCATTTTAGGCATGTGGCTCTGGAAGGTAACCGTGGATCTTAGGGGGACTGTGACACTCAGGCTAGAGGTGCACACCGCGGAGTAGTCCCAGGCAGTCAGAAACAAAGTGAGGCCTCCTACTGAGCCATAGGTGGATTTGTTTTCAGTTGTCACTGGGCTAAAAAAAAAAAACAAAAACTTGAACCAATACTCTAAAGTCAAAGTCTGTGGGATGGGAGTGTAGTTCAGGGATCAGATGCAGGTCTACCACCCTGGCCTCAACCTCCAGCACCCCAAAAGTAAAAACAGAAATCCAATTTCCATTCATTCTGGAAAAATCTGGAAGGCTGATAGCACCAGCCCTGCCTCCTCCTCCAGCCATAGTGGCCCTGGAGAGGAGTGGTGGCTGTTCCCGTGAGCCCAGCGCCTGCTCGGGGGCTCTGGGGAAGTGTCCATGGCATCCTGTGCTGTCTACCATGATCTCCTGATGCTGGCCCAGCTCCCTCTACCGGCTGCGCCTCAGGGAGCAGGACTGAATGTGGCCCATGAGGCCCCGGCTGAAGGTGCTCTTTCTGCCCTTCACACGTCCAGGCAGTTCGGGAAGAGCCTGTCGGTGCCCTGTGCCAGACACCTGACCTGCATTTTCCCCTCTCTCACCTGGGCTTGGCCACCTGGTGTGCTTCCCCTGGAAACTTGGCACCTGAGATGTGTGCACGTTGTCACCCGAGCTGAGCTGTTCCTTTCCCTGACCCTGCTCTTCCCACACAGCGGGGAGCAGGAGGGGCAGCTTCCCGCCACACTGCCAGGAGCTGGGCCCAGGCAACAGCTTTTGCCACTGGGGGACATTGGAGTCCCCTCGGGGCTCTCCACCTGCTCCAGGCCCCATGCTGAAATGTTCCTGCAGCTCACCTGGGGAACTGAGTCTTGGCCAGGCCCCATGTACACAGCCTCATCCCAAGATTGCTCGTTGGGTTTTAGAGGGTAAACCTGACAGGCCATAGGGGTAGGGAGCCTTGGGTAGCTCTCTAGCAGGCTGGTATCATGCAGTTCAGAAGTCCCAGCTACCAGGATGGTGAGCCATGAAACCTCTCACCTTTATACATTTCTCAGAGTCAGGTGTTTTGTTATAGCAACACAAAATGGACTAAGACACAACACACACACACACACACACACACACACCCTGGGCTTTTCTAACAATTCATTACCACCTAGCATCTTACGCAGTCTTAGGTTCTGGTCATGGAGGGGAGGAAGGGACTCCTCTGTGGACACAAAGACAGCCAGGGGTGGGGTACACTGGGGAAAAGCAAGGGGGCTGGAGGACGCCAAGCCCCAGGGTGGGGGGAGCTGGAATCCACATCCTGAGGGCTGACACCACCACTCCTAAAGCAGCCGGAGCCAGCCGGGAGGCTTGGTTCTCAGCAGAGAAGGTGTAGCCAGGTACAGCAGGGGTCACTGCACGGGAGGAAGAAGTCCCCCCTGACCAAGCTGCACCCCACCAAGGCGCAGAGCTGAGACACACCAGCAGCTGTGCTGCTGCCCGGGAAGCAGCTCAGCACAAGATGCTGAGTTACAGCAGGCAGAGGACCGGTGCAGATCATGCGGTTCCGAGCAGGCCAGCTCCGTTTCTGTGCGTCTACCTCTTAATGGACACTCAGTAAACAGAAGAACCCAATGTGAGGTACACAAGAGTCCACCAAAATGTCCTTTTATCATAGCCTGTATTTCCCCATGTTCCTTAGGGAAACCATGTTTCTCCTGTACCAACATGTTTACAATGAAATGAGAGAAAACACGACCACAGGTAACTGAGGCTGGTGTTTGACTAAAAGGGAGGAAACCCTGGGCCATTAGAGACGTGTGAAGACCAACAGCCGATGGGTGTGGGAGAATCGTTTGGAGCCTCAGTCTCTCCACAAGGAGCCAATTAACTGTTTCTAAAGAGCTCCAAGTGACTCATGTCTGGGATTTAAATCCATCTATTTCATCACAGGTGAGAAAAGGCACAGCAGCTTCTTGGGGTCCCTGCTGGACTTTGGAGTTCTGGGTGCAGGAGGTTTGGGGATGCACGGGCAGTAGACAAGATGGCTCCCCAGTCAGCACCCCAGGTGGATCCCCAGGGGCGTGGCTCCCAGGTGGCTGCACAAGCCCTGCCCTTTCAGCAGGGCTCCCGCCTCCTGCAGTGTGGGGTGGTGGAATCCATCTGTCTTCTCAAAGGATGAGGCCTTCCCAGGGTGACCTCATCTTTACCTACCGTCATCAGATCCCTATCTGTGTCTTTCCTCTCTCACCTTCAGGTTCAGAATACCGACCGCAGCTCGGGACAAAGAATGGAGTAGGAAAAAACAGCGTCGTTCTGACACGACTGGTTTTCCCTGGTTACAGCTAAACGCCCCTTCACACAGGGCTGCATGCTCCCTTGTCCTCCTCCAGAGGGACAGGCCACTTCCCGCTTCTGCTCAGGGCTTTCTGCTCTCTGCAGAGCCTCCCGCTGGACTGGTCAGTGCAAAAGAAGGCAGACATTTTTCTTGTTTTATAGAAGGATAACTGAAGCTTTGGTTTCACCAAATTTCTCATTAACAATTTTAAGTCGGATTCTAGTGTCAGCGAGAAATGATCTGTAGGAATCGCGGGGGCTCTAAGTGCTATATTGACAATGACTCTTTCTTCAGACATCTAAAGGCCTGGCTTTCCACCCCCACCCTGACTGCTCTTCAATTTCACCAGTTCCTGTGTCCGTCTTTGTGTACTGCCAAATTGGATTTCGAATGCTTCTGGCATCTAGGTCTTATTAGGAAGCCGCGGTGCTCTGTTATTGGGTCCATCTTATTATTTCCTTCAGCCCAGTGTGTACCTGATATTGGAGAGTCTCCCTGTGGGTTGAGGCTGAGAGATGCGGCAGACGATGTGGTTTTATTATTTCGGGAGCTCCCATGCGGCCAGATGGGAATCCGGGCTGTGTGGCTGGCCACTGTTGCCTCCTTCGGACTGGGACAGCCCAGTGTCCCTGCAGCAGGGACCACTGACGGTCATCTGTGTCTGTGCCACGGGAGATCAGTAGGCATTTAACACAGACTTTCTGGCCTCTTCACACAGTGGGTCCAGTTTCCCATCACCTCCTAGGGAAACAGACAGAACTATTTTTGTACGATCTGCTGCTTTATGAGGTCTACCTGGGGCCTCCACCAGGCGTGCGTTTCCCACGGCCCTGGGGTTGCACAGTGCTAGGGAGCCTCGACTGGGTGGCATGAACTTTCCTTCCTGAGCATGGGGAGGCACGTGCATGCCAGCCTGCCAGGGCACAGGGACTCCTAGAACGCCACAGAGAACGCTGCCTGTGACAGGCAAGTGACTCTGGAGGTCTCGGCAAGTCTAGGCCAAACAAACTAGTGGAACAAAAGTCACAGTGAGAGCATATACTAATAAAGCACGCATTATTAAAGTGCAGAAAAGCAATTATCATCCTACTCCATCATCTGTGGAAGTCAGGGCTGAACGGCATTTTCCTTCCTCATGTGTTTCAAGTCAGAGTAAAGGAAGAGGTTGCATTGCCAAGAGCTCTCCCGTGTGTGGTCTCAGATCTCCCCCGTGGGCCACAGTAGGGGCCTGTAGGGGCCTCTAGAGTGCAGGCCGAACTCGGAAAGCAACCCAGCGTGAAGAAGCCAAGCACAACACCTGGACCATTTGAACCAGGAGGAGGGGGAGGGGCTCCGGGAGGAAGCCAAGGGCTGGCCAGAAAGCTTTCGCCGCCGCACCGAGGAGGCTTACCGAACTCCAGGTCGGTGATGTTGCACTGGAAGACGATTTCTTCATTCACCTCGAGCTCGACCACGTTCCTCTCTTCCGTCTTCTCTAGGATGACCTTGTGTCCGTCTTCGGCTAACACAGCTGGAAAATGGAGAGGGACACTATGACATGGGGACAGCGTGACTAACGTGATGTGTCAGTGTCCTCCTGGACACAGCGGCCTGGGTGCTCTGGAGACCCTGCTGGCTGCATGTCACCCTGTGGTGGGACACCCTCCCTGGTGCTAGTCCATCGCCATGTGCCTTCCCGGGACTTCTGGAGGAAGCACAGGCAGACACTTGCATGACTGGGGTCAGGTTGGGAATCACCCCAGACTCCTCGATCTGCTGGGCAGTGATCTCTCTCTGGGAAGGGCAACCAGGCTGTGCACAGGCTTAATTTTCTGCAGACCCTGCTCCACATGTGGGGACCCAAGGACTAGGAAAGCTCTTGGTCTGTTGGTGGAAATATAATCAGTCGCCTTTCTAAAGAGCAATTATCAGAAAAAAATCCAAAAGTTCAAAAAACAAAAACATTGAAAATGACAAAAAACAACCCTAGTGTTTGGCCCAGGAAATTGCACTTGAAAGCTCCAAAAGAGGTGTGGGGGGGGGGGGTCAGAAATAACAGCAGATTTTTGCAAGATGTTCTTTCATATTTTTTAGAACAGCAAAATTCTATGAATGATTTAAAATAACAAAAAGATGGTCAAATAAACAGCAGTGTGTTCCTATGATGGAATTTTATTTGGACATTTAAAGATGTTTAAGAACTTTTGAAATAACAAGAGTAACATGTAATATAAACAAAAAGTCAGGATGCTACTATGTAGAGTACACATTAAACTATACACCCAATATTAACTAAAATATATGTAAGAAAGAAGAAAAATATCCTTTACTTATCTCTCTGTGGTGAGATTACGTGAAACTTTTTCCCTTTTTATTCTTTCAGTATTTTCTAGGCAGTCTACAATCAATGGAGGAAAAGTTCTCTAAAAAAGCAAATGGTGTATATCTTTCTTCTCCCCTTTGGGATCCTGATTACCACTGCTAGCCCATTGGCCATTGTGCCTTTGTTCCCCAGAGATCGGCCGGCCGTGGCAAATGGCTATATTTCAGCTCCAAGATGGGAACACAGTTGCATGGGATCAGGAGGGAGAACATTCCTTACATAGCCTCCAGGTCCATCTCTGGGGAGCTGCTCCCGTTTGGGGGGGCTGTGCATCTTAGACATGGCTGTGGAGTTGGGCTGCTGAATCATGCATGCCCTCAACATCTGCCCAAGTGCTGATAACTTCAGCTGAGACGCAAAGAGAAATCGGGCGGGGTGGGGTGGGGTGGGGTGGGGGGAGAGATTTTTTAAGTGCTGAGAGTTTCAATCAGTCTTGGGTGGAGAAAAACAGACACCGATGTCAGTTAATTGCATTTAATTACAGAGACAATTGCTGTTTCAAAAATGTCGCTGTGTCCACTTCCTTGTCTTCCAATCAGTTCAAGAACCTCCAGCTCCGACTGTGAGCATTTTAATTGCGTGATTTTAATTTCACTTCTGGGAAGAAACTTCAGAAAGACCCAGCGAGGGTCTCCATTAACGCCCTAGCGCTCCGTGGGCACCCGGTGGTGGCCCTAATTGACCTGCGTCAGCAAAGGCCTCTCTCTGAAGACGCCTGTGTTGTTTCCTTTGGCTTGTTTATGTTACTGTGTCCTAGCTCAGTGTCTCATTCCTAAACATCTTCGAAGAAGGTACTGAGCTTGGACCAGGGACTTGTTTCCATGACGCAGTCCCTGGGGTAGGGGGGATGGCAGCCTGCTTAGAGGGACACCACAGCAGTCGAGAGCAGCAATTCTTAGGTCACGTGACTCCTGGGGTGCCCCAGGACAGAGTAACTAAGGGTGGAACTTGGTCTTTGTGAGCTTCAGCTTTGCACTGTCTGATGACACTTTCGGGTTGAGGATTTCCATCTGACAGGAAGAAATCAAGAGCAAACATCTTCACCCCCTACTTTGCACCCCTACCTTGGGGCTCAGAGGTAATCGCTCTGCCCTTAGCACCTGGGTTAACTCTGACCATTGGAGCTTGTTTTATGGGGGCAGGGTCACTCTTCCAACATACACTGTAGGTAAGAAACAGAATCCACCAAATAACCTACCCTATGGGGTTGGCGATGGTGGGTGATTGGTTTTCCCTCATCTGTGAGCAAGTGAAGCCCAGTGGGAAAACATCCTCTTAGGGGTATTCTCTCTGCATTCTGTCCTCCGGGGCTGCGGGGCACAGGCTCTGTGGTCCCTGTGAAACTCAGAGCCACGAGGCTGGGTGTCACCGCTGATCTGAGGACGGGAGTGAGCCAAGTCTGATTTATAGCAGAGTTATCGCTGTGGCAGTCTCCTTCTCAGGAGTCAGGAAGTGCCAAGCCTGGCTGTGCGGTGTCCAGGGAGGCTTAAAGGATCAAAGCAGCAGCAGCTGCGGACTTCCTGTAGCTCAGCCAAATACCACCACTCCGGTGGGTCACCCGGTTTCCCAGAGATGCCACTGGGCTGGCTATTCAAAGAAAGGTCAGACCGATACCGCTCCTCAAGACAGATCATGGGCAAAGACAGCGCTAAACCCCAGCATCAATCAGCCAAAGCCGCAAAGCCACCCGCACAGTGCCTGCCTCTTTGGAGAGGCACCTCATTCTTCAAGGGAGATCTGAACAGAGGGGACCTAAAAAGGCTCTGTCCCCTTGGTGCTGGCGGAACTGCCCACCATCTGTGGGGCTTTACATGCTGCTGAGCAGGAAGTCAAGGTGTAGAGACAGATCCTTTCCTTTCTTGGCACAGAAGTGACACCAAAGACCACTGACGATGCAGACCTGTCTAGCTAAATAAGTGGATTCTGTGTTAAAGGGTTGGCCCCAGCTCCTTCCTACTCAGATACAGCACACAAAGCACAAACTGGCCAGGCAATGACCTAGCACTGTCTGCTAAGCTTTGGTTACATTGGCATCGAGGTCAGAGTGGAGACATTGGCTGAACTATTATAATTCATGGATAACGAGGAACAAAATTTGCAAACCGCTCAAGGTCTGGGAAGCTTGGAACAGAGCGGTCATGTTGCCAAAGACAACCTGGCTCCAAGGGGCGAGGAAGCACCATGCCTTTTCTCGGGAACGCACAGCATTGGGTGTAGATTTCACCACAGAAGGTCTGCACGCGGACCTGCTTGCTGTGAGGGCAGCGGTGGGGTGTGCAGGGTGCAGGGTGAGGAACCAAATTGGGGTGCATGTGCTCTCTGCTTTGCTGTTGCTAAGCCCTGGTCCCTGTCACTGTCTCCGAGAACGTTGAATACACCAGCACTTGCCGGCATCTTGCTGGCCTCACCTCTCTTTCAGCCACAAAATAAACAAAACAAAACAAAACAAACAAAAAAATCACACCTCGGGGAGAGAGGCAGGCTTGGCTCCAGAACCTCCAGACCTCCTGCCAAATGCACTCAGGGAGGTCCAGACGGCATGCATGTCCAGGGGCTCAATGTTCTCCCCTCTCTCTGACCCATTTCTCCTGTCTTCCTTCTCAATGCTTTTGCTAGAAAAAAATTTTTTTCATTCTTTTGAGACAGGGTTTTACAATGTAGTTCGAGCTGGTTTCTGTGTGTCCCAGGACGGCCTTGAATTCATGGTAATGCTCCTGCCTTAGTCTCCTGATTACAGGCATTTGCCACCGAACCTGGCTAGAAAAAATGTTTTATCTCTAAAATTTTATTAGATTATAAGTATGATGCAGAATCACGACTTTTAAAAGAAAACATTAAAATTATAGGAAAGAACAAAGCATTTAAAATTACCCATAATTCTTCCCCACGCCTCTCTGTCTTTTTCAACAGAAGTGAGATCAATGCTTCATTATCATAATGCTATGCCTGGTGTCCTAGCCCTGTTTGTGCATTTAGGACTTCCAAGTTACTTTTCATCCCTGAGTTGTGTTTCACATGATGTGAGCAAGGAGATTCTTTTAGCCGTGTCGCTTTTTGGTTGTTCCTAATCTTCACAGTTACCAAGAACAAAAGAGAAACATAGACTTTCTTGTTTTCAAAAACAAGAAAGATGTGTACAATCATGAAAACTGGATTCTACAGTATGGGTTACTTAATAGACTTTGCCTAGAGGCCCTCCAAAGTCACTGTGCTGTCTGCCTTCCCACAGAGAGTGCTGACAATACCCACTGTCTGCATCTTGCACCAACCTTGCTCTGGTCTCTGGAGAGTCCTGCTCTGCATAGGTGTCCAATGCCTACTGCCTGCTGGAAACGCAGCTCACTGGCCTCGCGGCTCCAAGTACGCTGCTCACTCTGTACTGGCCCCTTCTCTGGTTTCTCCTCATCACTCTTAGCCCCTAGGAGAGGCCATCTCTAGGACCCTCCTACCTTTCTGGTCCTGTCTCTCTGTGTCTCTGCCACCCACCTCCTATAGGTCCCCACAAGTCTGTTTATTTCACTAACACTTTTCAGTCCTCCACTGCCCCGTGAACTGCTGGGCCCCTGGACCCAGGAGAGAGAGAGACAGACAGGAATCTGCCTTGCAGCTTCTGTGTAAGTGGGTGGAACCTGCGTTGTGTTAGGTACTGCTGAGCACTAGGAAGATGAGGAGGGAGGGGAGGTCAGAAAGAGATGCAGGAATGTCTGCTCTGAGGCGGAGGTGCTCAGGAAGACCTGAAGGGGACTTGGGAGGATGCACAAACGGCTGAGAGGTGAAAGGTGAGGACCGCAGGAAAGGACTTCCTAGCCCAGCAGCTGGGAGACCATGATGGGGCTTCAGGGGGAGCTCTGAGGTCAGCCAGGAGGTGGGTGTGGTGAGCAGAAGAGCCAGGGGATGGGGTAAGTGGCCAGGGGACAGGGCGGTAGTGAGAGTGTGTGGGAAAGGGAGGAATGAGGTCAGGAAGGCCTGAGGAGCCTGGGAGCTCTCAGAAGTCTTTGTCTTATGCTCTGGAAGCTGCAGGAAAATTCCTGGGGGTAAAGGCCAAGCTCGCACTCAGCTCTACTGGGTCATCTGGCTTTGGTGCTGATAGCAGACTGCAAGGGGACAAGGATGGCTGGGCATGGAGCCCAGGCATGAGCTGAGCAGGA